AGTCTGATTTTTAAATTATGCTTTCATTTTTTATAGAAATGAGAGTTTCTATGAAACCTTCCACGGATTTTTCGGACTTTAAAGTTCTATTAAGCATCAGAAATCAGTAAACGAGACATTCAAAAATAGGACTCTGTCAACTTCTAGCTAAAGGTGTTTACTGCAAAACAAAAAGAGCCGGAGCTCTCTAGCATTTACCTAAAATGACAATTTAGGGCTTAATGAGATATTTTTCTTTAATTTCAACAGCACCTGTTTTTCTGATACAATAGGTGTCTGTGCGGCCACGTTCCGATTTGTAAGTATGGGTCTTTTTTATCTTTTCTATTTTTCTTTGATTTGTATGTATATTTATATGTACTATGTGTGTGGATCAGAGCTCCGTATGGACTGGACTGAGTCCATAGTCCAGTCCAATCCAGTCCATGTGGACTGGACTGGATTCAGATTTTTTGGATTTCATGGACTCTGACTGAACTGGACTAGACTTTTTTAGTCCATGGACTGGACTGGACTCAAAACTTTGAGTCCATACGGAGCTCTGGTGTGGATACATATATCGAATGTTTATAATTTATCGCTGTATAATATAGAGTTATAATATGATAATATATAAACAAATAAATAAATAAATAAATAATTTTGTAATAAACTTTGTCAACAGTACAAATTTCAGTTTGATAACTGATGTATATGCTACCCACTGTAAAGAGTAATAAAAAAATGATCCTAGACCACTCTTTAATTCATGGTTTGACAGACAAACTAGAAGACCAATGGTCTTTTATTATGGAGAGAGATTTAATAAATTTGCATTTCTATGTCTTTCAAGGAAAATCATTCCCTACGAAACGTAAGCAAGCATCGATGTCGATATGATTTATTAGATTCATCTGCTTCATAAATGTTTTGACCCAATGTCTACTAAACATTGATGAAGATTCGATGGAAAACTAGCCTTGTGCGGTTTATTTGCCATAAACGATAGATACGAACTCTGGTAAGTTAACAAACAAAATTAACTTATTCACGTGTGCTATTCTCAGAGGTGGTTTTAGTATGCACTTGTTAGTCGTTGTAAATTCTATTATTAAAATGCGATTAGAATATGCGATATATGTTCGTGCACTTGTGATCCGATACTGGGTAATGACAAAATAAGATCCTATTATAGGAAAAAACATGTTTTAAATAAATGTGAACAAAATTCTGATTCTAGTAATTCTCATTAAACATCATTTCTCGACACTTGTATTGTGCCATATTGTATTTTAATGTAGTATAAAGCATTTTTTAAACGGGCTAATCGAATCTTTCCGCCCGAATAGTTTAGCCTTTGAAAAACCGCCACACAAAAGAAGTATATCTTTTTCAGTTTAAAAAGTTTTACTTTTTTTAATCATTTTCTATATAATTTTGTTTCTAAGAAGTAAAAAGTATTAGATTTTGGTCAAATTTTTTTCCGCTTGTTCGACCGGTGTAAGATTCAATAAGCTTGAATAAACTCATGGTAATCAGAAAAAGAAAATATGCGACTTTTTATTAAAAAAAAAATGTCTTCTGCATCTTTGTTTTTGAAAACCTTATCTGTCCTCGACAGAAAAGATTTTCGAAGACTAAAAAGCTTGAATTCATGGAGAAGCCAAAATTCATATTTAAAAAAGAAATTTATTTTTGGATCATATGAGGTGTACGCTCTTAGTTATTGTATTTATAACCAAAAAAAGACGTGATGATAAAATCTACTAAAGACGATCTTATGGGAAAAACACATACGGTATTCTTAAATTTTTAACGTTCATAGATTTTCTTTTATAATTCTTCTTTTCGAAACGATGTCAAATTTTTCTACAATACGAAAATCAATAGTGTGATGTTTCACCATAGTATGCATTCTAACAATCTTTACATTTAATATGATAGACTAGATTTTTTCGATTTTTGACAGAAAATAGACGACGGATATGAGAGAAAATATATGGAAATTTTATATCCTTCTTTTAACTAGAAATATTCTTTCATGTGTGCATAGTATTTAACAATCTTAGAGTTAATTGTCAATAGTCAACAAATCAACAACTATCGTTGCTCAGTGGGAAAGGAAATAATGTGAAGTTAATCTGTAAAAATATAGAAATATTTCAAATTAAAAACTTAATGTTAATATTTCATAGGCATCTTTTGTAACAATAAGTAAACATTTGTTTTCAACTGAAACTAATGATATATAATAAAAACATCTTTGTTTTGTCTAAAACTTTATTTTCTAAATGAATTCAATATCGTTACCATTAATTAGAATTTATATTTAACTAAAGTAATTTAATAAAATGATCTTTTTTTTGTTTTTAAAAAAAGATATTTTGGTATTGAAATAAATATTTCTTTTAAAAAAAGAGGAGAAAATTAAATGATGGATATATTAGATAGTATGTAAAATAATAGTTTCATTAATATATCATTTATATTCTCACAATGGGTAACTGATCGTGGAATTACTTCTTAGCTTTGCATGTTTTATGTCGAATAACGGATATACTGTGATAAAAGAGAAGAAGAAAAAAATTCTTCCGATACACCTAGAAATCGTGTATACGACTAAAAAAATACAATTGTGCCTATAGATAGGATTGAGACAAAAAGAGAAAAATATTAAATATATAGTCTATAATTATATAGATCTATGAAAAAATATTATTTTCATTCATTGGATGAATAAATGCATAAAGCAAAAGAAAAAAAGGAAATGAAAAGAAATGTGTGCGCGATTTAGTAATTTATCATCAATGGTAAAACAAATATACGTAATATTATAGACTAGCAGAAATAAAATAAAAAAAAATAAATCTTTTGTCATTTGTTTTTGTTTTTTTGTGATATATAAGGGAGAGAGGAAAAAATTTTTTTTCTAAAAAAGGTAAATTTTACTTTTCTTTTAAGTCAGAAGAACAACAACAAACGAATTGAATACCATATGCTTCAAATTATTACAAAATATGATGACATGTGGTAATCCGAATAAAATTTAACGATTTTCTAATTGAACAAGATAAAAAAGTGTTATTGAATAACGATAAGTAAAATGTCTATTTTTAAACTAATATCAGTTATTAATTTGAATTGTATTCTCGTTCAATGCATAGAATCTATAAGTTTACAGTTCTCAATAAAGTTTCATTGTTTCCGGAAAATATTATGATACGTACGTATAAAGAAGAGATATCTCTAAAAACAAGATCGTTGAAGGTGTATTTCTATGGGAACAATTATAATCCTAAATTTAGATAATAAGTGAATTATTTACATTATAGAAATGTTCTCTGGAATCATCGTACATTTTTTTTTTTTGGATAATAAAAGTATCTGGGGAGAAAAAATCAATAAAAATAAAGTATGAGACTATGAATAAAATTAATGGTAAACTTTATTGTTTGTCTATAATCTGAATTGTAAACCAATTCGTAATTAACGTATTATATTTTCATGTATATTTATTTATGTTTGATATTTTCTTCTTTAGATTCAACAAAAGATGATAAAATTAATTGACTAATATGAATCTCTCTCTCTATCCTCCTCTCTCTATTTTATTGACGACGTGATACTAAAAAATATGAAATTTATCAATTTATCTATGACGTGTGTACGTACTTAACAGATAATAATTATATTGTGAATATATATATATAATATATAATATACAAGGAAATTTAAAAGAAAGAAAGAGACAAAAAAAAAATGCTCCTCATCATTTCTGTATAAATTTGTAATAATAAATAAATTTTTCATAGAAACATTATTTAAACATTAACGCAAGCGAAAAAAGAAGAGAGCATACGGATATTTATAACATAAGACATATTATCGTTTATCATTATATTTTGAAAATAGTAGCAAATGAATGAGGCAAATGCGTTTGAGAATACGTTGTTGTTTAATTGTTATTTTAACAATTTTATCAATAATTATGTTCGTATCATTTTATACAATTCTAAGTCAAACACATGAAATTGAACAAAAATCGAATATATTCAAAAAATTGCCAGATAAAAGAAATTTAAATCATCATCATCAACAACAACAACAACAACAACATATTCCATTTTGGCAAGCATTAGAAGCACAAAATATCTATGATATTAATTCTATGCCGAGAAATTATACAGTGGAAAATCAACCCAATATCAATGATAAAATAATTGAAAATTTATTTCAATTAGTTAATAATCATAAATTGGATATTATTACAGATAAAGAAATGAACATTGATGAATTTGATCAAACTTTTATTGACACTATAATAACAAAGAAAAAGAGAAAATTTAATCAAAAACAAGATAATGCCGGTGATAATTTGAATACAAAGCGTCACAAAAATGATGAAAAATTATCGATGGCTACTGAGAAAATGATAAGTAAAAAATATAACAGAGAATTAAGAAAATATGTTATTAACACACTATGGACATATAAAAGAAAATATCAAGATATGAAAGAAATTAATCTTGCCGATATGTTGTACGAGAAAATTGAACAAAATGAACCAGAGTAAGTGATGTGTTTCATGTTTAGTCTAATAGAGGATCTTGTTTACGTTTGTAGACGAAAAAAAAACAACAAAACCCTCAACGTTCTTCTTAAATGAACATGTTTCTTGTCAAATTAATTAATGATTATGTGATTTGTTCAAATAGCTTAGCGATGATGATGCTATCAATTAGATTTTATCTATGTTACACACACATACATATGATCTGTATGAATAATATGATTTCTATCCAAAATGAATACTTCTGTCCGAGGCTTCATGATTGAGATCACTTTTTTTTTTTGGATGATTATTAATTAGATTTAAAAAGTAGTCTTAATTTGAAATAGAGAGTTTGTTCTTTTTACATACTTTGTACACTCTCTATAATTGGAAATGATTGGCTACTGTAGACACAGAAACTGATTGAAATATTTTTCAGAACTGATGCTTAAAACTAAATTGAGGTGAGAACGAAATTACTGGATCGAATGAGACTATAAAAATGAAGAATAACACTACCATGAAGCACAATATCTCAATTCGATTTCCTCTACGACTCCTATTATGTATACAACTCTACATTTTTCTGTATCAAAACTGAAAAAATCCAAAATGGTATATTATATAAGTTACTTATAGTGTTTAAAGTGCTCAAATAAAAACGGAACTGAAAAATTGGTCTATACTAGTAATTCTTGTTCGTATTCAATAACAATAAAAGATGATGTTATAATTGGTAGAATTATTTCAATGGAAACATGGATTTAGAAGCTTATCAAGCAACATTCCGATCATTAAGTTACCGTTATATAGTTGTGTTAGATAATGATCCATGAAAGATGATGATGAGCATGAACCTAAAATATAATTGTCCTGTTTGTTGTATTCCTTCTATTGTAATATATTTGTGTGTCCACAGTAGCCAATCATTTCCAATTACAGAGTGATTTGAAATTATAAACAGTGTACAAAGTATTAGAAAAGAACAAATTCTCTATTCCAGTTGAGATCACATTTTATTTGTAAAAGAAATAAGAGAATATATATATTCCAAATTAAGACCACATTTTCTACTATAAAATTTTTATTTCCAAATTGAGACGAGTTTTTAAATCTAATTAGTAATCATAAAAAAAAGGTGGTCTCAATCATGAAACAACCCTTTTGTCACTGATAAAATAAAACAATTAGTGTGCCTATTTTACAGATATTAATGATAAATAACTGACGATAAGTGAATTATTAATTCATGCCCAAACTCCGCACACTTCCATTCACCCATCCATCCGTCACCTTTGAAGATTCTTTGATCTCAATTTGAAATTAATTAAAAGTGTACGAAGTTCCGGAAGTACGGTTACTTCCCGAACTCCGTACACTTTTAATTAATTTCAAATTGAGATCAAAGAATCTTCAATGGCGACGGGTGGATGAAAGTGTGCGGAGTTTGGACATGAACCGAATTATTGTATGTTAGATAAGAGATCGAGTGAGACTTGTAAACTAATAAGTAATAGTTAGTCATTTGTTTTTTGTTATGAAAAGAAATCAAACCTACTAATTTTGATCGCTAATTTACTGTTCCTATTATCAATACATAGCAACATAGATCGTTGAGCAAATTGAACTGATAACTACAATAAACAAACACTGATATATCTCTAGTTCTTAATTGACTGTCTTGTTTTGAATAGAAGAATAGAATATTCCTGTGTGACATAAATGTAATTTTTTCTTTTCTTATTATTTATGTGATTTTTGATTATATATATGATTAGGTTTCTTATTATTGAGTGATATGTCATTTTTCAGATAAAAGAAGAAGAAAAAAAACAAAAGAGGATGTTTTTTCTTCTTTCTCTTGTCTAAAAACGAAATTTAGATATTGAAAGAAGAAGAAAAAAAGAAGATGCATCTTCATCATGTTGTGAACGGTGACTTGTTTGACAATTTTAAATATTTGAATAATATTAAGAAAAAAAGAAGCAACCATAAGAAATCGTCATGTAAATTTGATTGAGATACGCGAATTCGAGAATTTATTGCTGAACATAAGACTGAATAAATTTTTAATAAATATTCTTTATTTTTACTCTTTGATTGTAACAGCTGTCAGAAACGAGCGAGTATCGATCTTTCTCGAGTATGAATAGTTGATCCCTAAGTACTGAATATAAAAAACTTGATCTTTTATCTCTGCACAGCTGTCATATTTTAGTTTAATTGAAATATTGACATGAAATATTAGTGCAAAAATTATATTATTTTATTTTTAACTTAAAAAAACAAACAAAAATATTAAATAACAATTATATTGTTTTAATATTTTAGAAAATTGAATACCATTTGGTTTGAATATCTTAAAACTGTTACAAATTTACATGTTTATAATACTGACAGTAAAATATTACGGCGTATATTATATCGATTATTAAACAATGAGATTCTGCAAGCAAGTAAAAAGGATTTAGAAATAATGCAACAACTGTTGTTCTTGTTTTCTTGAGAAAATATCTGTATTATTGTGTCAAAATGGATTTTTTTTTCTTCTTCTCATTATAGGTGAATTGACGCAGGGTACACAAATAAAACTTATTTTAGAACTTGGTGATGGTATTGAAGGTTTACTTAAACCATATCGGTAGGCTATATTTACTCATCTGTTGATCAAATCTTTATTCTATAGCTATTTATAGAGGTAATCGGAAGATAAGAATCGGAAAGACAGGAAAGCTTTTTTTATCACTTTATTGACGAAGAACGAAGGAGAAAATAATCGTTCTTTATCTTCTATATTAACTCATTGTTTATTAGATGTAATTAATATTTAGAGTACCAAGAAATTATCAAACATTACCAGATCACTATTACTTTAGTGATATTGAAAGACATCATGCTGAAATAGCTTCATTTCATTTAGATAGGTAATAAAAAAAAGTGAATGATTGTGAATTGAAAATAAATTTTATTATTTATTTATATTTCAGGGTACTCGGTTTCAATCGTGTTCCTCCTATAATTGGACGTATTTTAAATATAACCAGTGATTTACTAGAACATGCAGTACCAGATTTGGCTAAAACATTTTTTATTTCACCCGGTAAAATAATTTAACAATCTCATACACATGATTAATAAATTTTCTTTTTTGTTTACATTTTTTCAGCTAATAATACATGTTTTCGAGGACGTTGTTCATATTATTGTGATACAGGTCATGCCGTTTGCGGCAGACCGAAAGATTTTCTTGAAGCTTCACTACAAATTTTATTACCACGTCCTCCAGTAGTCGAATGGCACAAGATAACCCATCCATATCGAAGATCATATAGCGCTACTAAATACGCAAAATGGGAATCAAACGAAAATTATTGTTATGATAAAGTATTAAACGATGATTATTATCATAATCGTTTACTATTGGATATGACGGATTTGGCAGCATTTGACTTTTTAATAGGTATGTGTGTAAGTTTCATCCTGTTTGTTCATTTATTGAATTAATTATTCTAGTCTTTTGAAGGTAATATGGATCGACATCATATGATGAGAATAAGCAGTTTTGGACCAAATTCTGCTCTAATACATTTAGACAATGGACGATCGTACGTAGATAGAATACAAAGTTCAAAATTTATCTTATATTTTTAAAATTTAATTCTAATTATTTAGATTTGGACGTTATGATTATGATGATCTGACAATTCTAACACCAATTCGTCAATGTTGTTTTTTTCGTTATTCAACATTTCAACGATTTCAAATTCTCTATAAACAACGTCTGTCTGTTTTATTAAATCGATCATTGAAAACTGAAAGACTAAAATTAATATTGATTAATGAACATTTGATAGCTCTTGATAGACGCTTAAATATTCTACTTCATCTCATTAATGATTGTGTAAAACAACATTCCGTTGCCGGTGTAATTGTTCATGATGGAATTTAATGAATTTTTGTTTTTTTAGGAAATTAAAGTGTAATATGTTTATTTTTTTCATGTATGCTCAATTTGGTATTTGTTAAAGATTTATTTTTGCTTTAAATTAAGTAATTAGTCCAAAACAAAAGAGAAAATTATATTTAGTTTATCTCAAACTCAAATTTAGAAGCTAAAAATCATACTGCTGCTAGCTAATCAAAGAAAAATTTGTATTTGCTAGGTTATAGACGTTGACATTCTCAAAAATTTTAGAATCAATACACAGAAAATCATTGATTCTTAATTTTCGCATTTCGATCATTGTTTTCAACTCTACCGTTAATTTTTCCTACTGTTCTCTTAAATTGATGAAATAGATATAAAGGGTTTCACCAAATATATTGTTCCGAATGTCTGTCGTTAGTGGAACAGAAGAAAAACTATGTTATTTTCGATTTCTGAGTATGCTTCTCTACGTATATACGGTCAAGGACAAGAGATTATACTATAATAGATTTCAAGTTTTAATTTTCATTAACTTGTTGTAATTGAAAAATCTCGTATATATTTCTGGTTGGAAGTACCATGCAAAAGGACATTCAGTAAACGACTAATGCTTTCTATATTTCTATAGTGATGCCGGTGTTACAATCTTTTATCCTGAGAAATCTATCTCTATAACGATAAGTTCGAACCAACAAGAATATAATGAAAACAAAAATGCTGGACATTTAAGAATAAACAGACTTCTCTTCACACATATGAGATACAGACCTCGAACTGGTTTTAAATTGTGATTATGAGCTATGGTAACAATGTAACAGCTTTTTGTTATTACTATAAAACATGTTATTATCATTTTTATAAGTGAACGCTAAGATAGGAACAAAATAAGAAGTAATACATTCAAAACTCATTTATAAATTACATATTGACGGATAAATACAATATGAAAATAAATTGAGAACATATTTTAGCAGATTTGCTGAATTATGTGAAAAAAAATTACTGAAAGATGATGATGACACTTACACATGGCATTAAATAGTATGAAAAGAACAATGTCACGTCCACAAGCGTTCAATTGATGGATGAACGTGTGCGGATATAGAAATTAAAAAGTTATTGTTTGACAAGAAAATGGATTAGAACAAAAACAAAATATTCTTAATTAGATTTAAAGGAAAAAGGATAGTGCTCATTGCTGTATATTAATCGTAACAATGTCAAGCAATTAAAAATGAATTAAATGAGTTTTGAACTCGATCTCAGCGTTGCTGTTAAAAAAGTAATGAAAATGTGTATGGAAATGTGATCAATTTTATTAATGAAAAATATTTACATTCGGAATAAAATAGAAAAATGAGCTAAGATAATTTCAGAAGTTTGCCTTCGTAACACCAACAGCAAGTTGTTCAAGGTCACTTGAAAAAAGTAAAGTGTACGATCATCTATCCATACAAGGCCATTTTCTTTACGTACACTCTACCTTGACCGACGAATCAAACACAGCAAGAACAATATTTGTATATAATACTAAAAAAAACCTTACAGCACTGCTGAAACAGCACAATATTGGTACATATTGTACCCAATATTCAACAACAACGTTTTACTATTTCGAATAAAAAAGATCATGACAGTTCTACATCCAATTGAGTCTAAAATTCAAAACGCAGTCAATTATATATACAACAAAAAGCGAGTTTAAATATCAGATTTTATCGAAGATGAGTCATTTTTTTTAATGAAACGGCATTCAATTCACAAAAGATCTCATCTTGTCAAAATTAACAGAACATCAGCATTTAGGGTTTTTCTTCAATGTTACAACTCTGCTGGACAGAGATGTAATCGCTCCAAAATTCTTAGAATGCGAATAGTACCGTTTTGCAAATTCTCTGCTGAAACGGAACGACCGTTCTAAATTTTCCATTTTTTCATAGTGAAACGCTAATTTTATTCAAGAAATACCTTCAAACGATATTGATTAAAACCTTTTTTTAAAGCGGCTGTTCTAAAAAGTCTTACCGGAACGGAACGCCTTGGTCATTCTCCGTTACCGGTTACAACTCTGCTGCTGGATTCTTTACACGCACCACACTCGATTAAAAACTCTTTTAGCCATTCAGATCCGCTTTCAGACTTGTTCTAGATACTACGATCGATGGGAAATAACTGTAAATGCTTTCACAAAATACTTCCTTCATAGCAATAAAGCCAAGTATTGCAAGCTTGAAGAAGTACTTGTAAAAGTTCATGACTAGTGAGTATTTTTGAAAATACTTGTCAGTCTTTCCAAGTATTTACTAAGCAATGAAGTACGGTCACCATGGTAGTTATCAAAGAGTTGTCTTATTGCCTTACGATGAATGAATTACTGTTATATTGCCATCTTATGTGTTGGGCACATATTCTAAGTAAGTATCGAAAATGAAAGATGAAAATAAGTTTTTAATGATAGAACAAAATACAATGACATGAATTAACGAGCTCAGATATCAAACAAATTGTTTTTTCCAACTTCATTTCTCGTATTCTTCTTTAATAAATTCAAAAGTCGCATTTTACCTAGCTTGAAAGTATTATCATCCATTCACATGGATATTTAAATAAACCAAGGAAAAAAAATGAGCTAGAATAAATCAATTATCAAATAAAAATAGAAAATGGAATCGAAAGATTGAAAATATGGATGACCTATTAAAACAATATCAACAAGAGAATAATAATTAAGGTGAGAATATTCAAGATCAACATAAACAATTAAATATTATGAATTATTTACAACACTCAATTGTTTCATTTTTCTTTTATTTTGTTCGCGTGTATTATACTGGATCTCTCCGATTGTACACTTTATTTTGAATAAAAAGTATAAACTAAATATTATGAATATATATTGTCAGTGTCGTTTCATAACATGCGTATGAAGAATGATGAGTCATATTTTATCTCATCTTTTTTACAGCAGATAATGGTATAATTTCATTTTTTATCTTCAACATAAGAAGTCAACAATACTTTCGATTTTCTAAATATAAATGTCTAAAAGAAATACGTAAATAAACTGGTTTAACTGGAAAATATTTTCATTACCGCTTGTTTGAATGGAAAATATGTTAAAACATAACATGTTATCTCTATCGCCATAATACTTTAAAAAAACGGGATGAAACTAAGAAACATGGCATCTAAAAACATTTGACTGTGAGTTTTTCAGCCTATTAAAACGTTGAATCAGTTAGTTTTTGATTATTAATGCCTATAAAAATAATTCGTTTTACTTCTTTACAATTATAATTATTTATATATTTTTCTTTTATATAAATAAACGCGAACATTTAACTTAGAATTATAAAAGAACGACTTAGAATCGATATAAAAATGAAACAGGAAAAAAAAGACATTTACATAGATGGTTGATCAGAAATAACTTTAAACTTGTGGAGTTTTTGAGTGACTAAACTTGTGTTGGATTTTCATTTCCAGTTTGTGTACCACCATAATATGTTTGTTGATGAATTACTCCACCAAGTTGTTGATGAGATGGCTGTTGCGAGGGTAGAACTTGCTGTTGCTGAATATATGGTTGCTGCGGGATATATTGCTGTTGTTGGTGTTGTGGTGATGGAATTGCATATGGTTGTTGATAAATAGGTTGTTGTTGCATGCTAGGATAATATTGCTGCTGCTGCTAAAAGTATAGTATGAATTGGTTTACGCAAAGGAGAGTTAGAAAATGATGACTGAATGACTTACTGATGGAGGTTGAGAATACATTGTAGCAGCGAGAGCGGCAGCGGCCGTCGTTTTTGCTTGTACAGCTCGAATACGGCCTTCTTCCATTAAACGATGATATAAATCCATTGCCTCACGAAGATTTTTATTCAAATCTTCTAATTGAACGTGTTTTCTATCAACTTTTTCTAATTCATGATCAATCAACGGTCCCATGGCATAACACTGATCTTCAAGCCTAAACCGAAAACGTTAAATATTGTTAAATCGTTTATAACTAGATAGGAATGATTCACTTACATCAAAATTTCTTGGGTATCAGCCTCAAATTCACCAGTTGGATCTGCATTTTGTAACATGTTTAAACAACGATCAATTAATCTTTCATCAATAACGACCTGTTCTTTTGACATCTCAACAACGCGTTGCTGATCAACGTGCTGTTGTTTTTGAAAATCCTGAAATGACAAATGGTACAATACTAGTGACTGAACACTACTACCTTTAGGAAGCTAAGATCCACAAAATTCTCATCATATATAAGCAGTCATCTCATCTATGCGTCGATTATTCGAAGAAAAAAAAAACCATCGCAATATAATTTTCCTACATCAGATATTTTTGCTATTGGTATTGTTTCAATAACTTGATTTAAATTTTTGGTAACAAAATTGGCCGGGAATAAACCCTCAACACCATTGTTAATTCCTTTCCACCAATGTTGATCACTATCATCCGTAATTGTTAATATATCACCAGCTTTAAATGTCACTTCATTATCTTCAGCTGCTTCAAAATCGTATAGTGCTTTCACTTTTTTATCAGATCCTCCAGTGGTTGTCGATTGAACGGTTGGATAAATTGAATTTTGTACTTGTTGTTGTTTTGATTTTTGCTGTGTTGTTTCTTGGATTGATAATGCAACTACAGAACGAAAAAAGAAGCATAGTAAATCGAAGTATGCATAGAATTTGTCCATAGTTTTATAAGACTAATAGAGTAAAATAAGAGAACATGGACAGATATAATAACAGGCTAGTGTCGTGCATGCTGCACTCAAAACTTTGGTAAGTTTTGTAGTTCACAGCTTACTTGCTTTAGCAAAATCGTCTTCTTCTTTTTTGGCTAATAATTGATCATTATTTCGATTTGTTGATGTTTGTGAGATCCCTGCTGAATTACTAGTTGCACCCATTGATGAATCATCATAAAATGTATAATTTTTTTGTTGTGTCAGCTCCTTGTATAATGATGGCAACATATCATATTCAGGTTTTTTAAATTCTGAATCATCACACCATTGTTTCAATAGACAACCTAATCTATTTCTTATTATTGACTCAGTTTTAGAATTTTCAATTACTTGTTTCAAATTATTCATAAAATCACGTGATGTTAACTGATGTCGAAATTCTTGACCACAATTCTTAACAGCAGCATCCAATAATGTTAACGTATGCATTTGTACACGAGGCTTTTGTGTTTGACGTAACCGTTTTAAAATTTGTTCTAGTAATTCTTGTGGTTTACGTTGACCATTTTTGACATAATCACATACTTCTAGAAATAAAATTCAACTATATATTATGTGTAACTCAGAGAGAGAGAAAGTTTGTTTTTAATCGCACCTAATATACGATCCCAATTTTCTTCGGTATTTCCTTCGGCCGTTGCACTATCAAGTGCAGCTTCGAACGGTACAGCTGGCTTTGACGGCATAAATTAAGAATAAAAGTAAATAGATGAAGTATAATTTTGATTTGTAAACAGTTGACAAAAGATTAAGTAAATCTATAATAGATGAAACAAACTAAAATAAATATCGAATAAACAGAAGATACCCTTTTCATACACGACACAAAAGAAAAAATATATGTCCTAACTAACCGAGATTTTTCGTTGCAATAATCACTCTCTGTATGATAAAATTTATCTTTTTGTTTTATTCTTTAACAATGATTTTGTATTTATTCTAGTGTAAATGACTATGACTCAGGTAATGAGTCATTAGATCACGTTTTTAAAATGAAAAATCATCAGACAACAGGCGCGCAAGTTTCAAAAATGATGATAAATTAATTTTCAAGATAAATGGCGAAGTAACCAGTCAGAAGTGAATAGAATAGATTCATGAAATCATTTTTATTTTATATCTTATTTTAACTGACCGTATTACAATTTTATAGCGTCTGTATTTTACCTTGGATGGAAGCCCGACGAATCAGCTGCTGATTAATAACCTCTTATATATATTACATATTCAAACAGAACTGCCTATAGAAATCAGCAATTATGAACTGAAAACAAATTGGAAATAAACTATGTTTATCAACAGTAAACGATCAAAAATACGAAAAAGAAAGTGTAGTGCATGAAAATGTTTTCTATCATTCAACTAAATTGTTTAAAAGTGATAAGACAAATATTTGTTCTCCCACTACAAAAATCGGTTAACGACGTAGTTGACATATAGCTTTTATTTTCACTTTAAAGACTATCAAGAATTATGTTTTCAAACAATAACAATATGAAAAGCTTCAAGATAAATAGCGAATATGTTGTTTTACGAGATACAAACTCAAGTGTTTTTCTAATACAAACCAATCATTTCGAAAATTCTACAGAAGGAATGAACGCTTTTGAAGTGAGTACTTGAAGATGCTAAAAATATATTAAAAAACATAGCGAGAAAAAAAGATTATAAATGTAATTAAAATCATTCTTTGAGATTCGACTAATATAAATTTATGTTCTAATCAAAATGCAAAAAGAAAAAATAACAACAATAAAAAAAAAGTTAACAAAATATGTATCATAGCGTCTAACAGTAGATTGACCTAAGTTTCACATAGTTCTAACATAGATTTTATTTCCCATTCTTCTTTTATTTTCATAATAATTTCGTTGAGTCTAGAGCAATAAATAATCTTATTTTTATTCCTCTAATTTATCTTAGACTAGAATAGATAGGTCAAAATCCGATATTTGAAACGATGCTACATAAAAGAAAACATACATAAAAATTTAACAAATAACAATTTAAAGAAAAATGAATTTTAAAATTAACAACAGGATTCGGAACATTCGACGTAATTAAGCACCAGTTTGTTTTTTTTCGGACAATTGACCTATTGGAATGTAAGACGAAAAATTAACAAGAGCATACACTAACTAATTAAAATATATATATTTAAAAGTAAACAGATAAAAAGTATTTCTTAAAACATTTTTCAAAGTTCTTCAGATTTGTTCTGATGAACATTTTTGGAATGTTTATCAATAAATTTTTTAAAATCATCGATACTTCGATCTCCACTATAGATGATTGGTTTTGATTTATCATTTGATGGAACAAAATATAATGTTGGATATCCACTAATTTGATAGACTCCTGATATATCATTAGATGTTGCATCAATTTGTGTAAATAAAAGATTTTTTGAATCTTTATAACTCTGTGCAATTTGTGAATATGTTGAAATGAAATTTTTGCAATGCCCACACCTAATAACAAATACAAATAGATTTACTTAAAACAAGATTTCACATTAGACAGCATTCAACTCTTATCGAGAGAATTTTCATTCAAATAATTAATTAAAAGATTTGAATACTAAAATTCTGCTTTACTCGTTGAGAAAGTAAAATAGTAACAGAATTTTTTGAGGAAGAAATACAGTTCCTGACACAGATGACATTTTCTAATACTAACAATTGATACTGGTTATCGTGGCTTCATTCAAAGAATATGATCGATACTCCGTCTAACAGAGAAATTTGAAGCTAAATTATTTTTTTGAGTATAAAACATCAAAACAAAAATAGTTCTCCTTCATCTTGTCATTATTTGAGAAAAAGAGTACAATCATAAGTGATATTTCTACATACCATGGAGCATAAAAGAATACGACAACGTCTTTTGATTTATCATTAACAATTTGTTCAAAATTTGATCCAACAATGTTCATTATTCCATTTGTCACCGCTTTCTTAGGTACCGCTTGTGAACGAATAAATGGTTTTACTTTTCCTTTGTCAAGTTTTTCTATAAATTCTCTAAATGAATCACTTGTAAATTCATCATCATCATCCATTCGATATTTCATCCCGTCTTTATGACAACCAACATTAACATCTTCACTCGAATCTTCCAAACCAAATTCCTAAACATCTTTTGATATAATAGACAGAAAAACAAGAGAGATAAAAGGAAAAAACTTCTTACTTTAAGCATAGCTTTCATTTTTTCTTCATCACTAATAGCAAACGTAATTGTATTCTTGTAATCTTTGGCAACATTCAATATTTTTTGTCTCCAATATTGTGTTTGTTCACGATGTTCAAATGAAAAATCAACATCATAGAATATAACACATAATGGACGTAATTTACTATATTTCTGTAGGGTATCTTCTGTTAATATACCAACGAGTGGTGCTTGATATTTTTTGACAAATTCTTGAATATCATCGATCGTGGCACTAGCCTAAAGGAAGAAATATAAAACACTTTGTGAATACAATGTTGAATAATAAAGATTGGAAATGTCTAGCAGAAAACATGGTCATCATTCGATTTTTCGGTGCAGGGTGTTACATAACATAGTTTAGATATCTGCATTGGCTAACAGTGATATCTCTCGTGTCAAATTAAAACGTTTGAGTATAAGCATACTTTCTCTTGTTACCTTTGAAAAAACATTTTTTTCATTTTCATATTTTGATCTGATATCGGGATGATATTGTACAAGGATGACTGGCAACGTTTTAATATCATTCAATGCTGGAATATTTATTGAATGAAATGTATGCGCAAATTTGTAAGATTTTCGATTCATATTAGCAAAATCAATAAATTGATCGTACAATGGCGTATTTTGATCTGGAAATATGCCAATCACATAGACTTTATCATGATATGCAAACAATTTCTTATATTCATTTGAGGTATTCAATTCTTGACTTGGAGGTGATTGCATATCTTGCATATATTGAACAATGGCATGTTCTGTATTTTCTCCATCATATGGTGATTTTTTTCCACCTTGACGAAAGACGAATAATGTTGGATATCCAGTGATATTATATTCTTTGGCTAACTGTACTTCTTGTGTACCGTCAACTTTGGCTAATTTTATATTTTTTTCTTTTAACCGGCTAGCCGCTTTCTCATATTGTGGTTCTAACTTTTTACACATTCCGCACCATGGAGCATGAAATTCAACTAATGACAATGGTTCATTTTGAGTAAACTGTGTAAAATTCTCAGTCGTTAAGATAACAACAGCAGATGGCGGAGGAGTCCAAGTGGGATTGGCATATTGTTTCATATATTCCATGATAGAATGTCCCGAATCTCGTGGTCCATCATAAGGATATGCTTTTTGATGATGAAATATTTTTAATGTTGGATAACCTTCAATGCTATGTTCTTGAGCAAGTGTACTTTCAACGGTTGAATCAACTTTAGCAAACTGGACGGGATGCTTATAATCTTTCATGAGACGAGCGGCCGCTTCATAATTCGGTTCGAGTTGTTTGCAATGGTGACACCTGTTCAAATAAAGAGATAACAAAGTAGTTAGCAATTTTTATTTTAAAAATGAAATCTTAATACGGTTTTTTTCGAGCTTCATTTTACAGATATGAATTGGAGAAAAGTTTCTTTTACACACGAGTCACCTCATACTCAGTCTACTACCTAGTATTTGAACTAACTTTTCACGTGAATATTGGTCGTAGTATCGCATAACCGAATTATACTTCATTACTAACTGAATTCATCATGATTAGCGCGGTAGATATCAGATTTACTCCGAGTGGAACAGGTGGGAAAACTATCCCAGCCGCTTACTCTGATGCTATAGGGGTGAGAGTAAAAAAATCAAAATACCTGCCAGGTTTTTCAGGCGACCGCCTAAAATTTTTCATGATTTTTCAAAAAAATTCAGGAGGTCAGAAAACAGTTTCATTCGACGCATTGAACAATTCTTTTGTAACAATCTTCATGATACTTAAGCGAGGATTCGTAAGGGATACCAAACAGTACGCAAAGTACCCGTAACATAATCAAAAAGTAAAACGACTTTTTATGATCTCATTAGACGAAGCGTTCAAAGTTACCTATAAACCCAAGTTTTTAAACCTTAGAGCCTAAAAATGAGTGAGTTACCGATTTTATTCAAAAAATCGAAACAGTAGACTTTTATCATATTTTAATCTTTTCTTGTTCTGCTCCCTATTCTAAAAATTCGAGTTACGCATGAATCGAACAAGCAGAAAAATCTGAACAAGTATGGCTAATTTTAAGAGGCTCAAGTCGTAACTTAATGGCCAAAAATTCAACTTATTGAAATTTGTTAGGTTAAGACACTTGGTTTTTTCCAGTAAAACACGCAGTCAAACCCTGTTATAACAGAACAGTTTTAACGCAGTTTATAGAGCGATCAATTTTCCACAAAATGAGTTACAATACTACTAGAATTAGCATCATTCATCAACTTTTTCATTCTCAAAAAAACTGATATTGAAGTTTTGTACATAGTATTAAGCTGTCGAAAGTAGTGTGCTGTTGGCCTTGTGTGGTGTAGTGTATTGAAAAGTGTTTTTATTGAACGATAGAGTCTAATAAATGAAAGTTCCAGATAGCAATTGGTATGCATGGGAAGAGAAATTCATACTTTGTGTTTCTTGTAATACTCTCAATGCAGAGTATATGACGCCGCCTCTATGTAGACCAGATATGACGCCACTGATAAACCGTGTAACTTTTGCAATGTGTGTATGAATTGCTTAGATACTTAAGGCGGTCGTATTTTTCATTTTCATTTTCCTAATTAACACTGGCGGCATAAAGTATTATAAAGGAACTTAAGTTGTAGCAGATGGTCGAAATTCCAAAAGTGACACACTTTTTACATTACATTTAACATTATTTTTAACATTATACACTTTTTTTATAATAACCATCTTAGCATCACACGCATTTATCAAACACCCTAATGATGTTGCATTAATATGTGTTACGTATATTAAAACTAAGCCTGAAAACTAAAAACATGCGAAGGATGTGATTTAATTGACAGTCCTAAATGACTTTTTTGTTGATGAATGATGCTAATTCTAGTAGTATTGTAACTCATTTTGTGGAAAATTGATCGCTCTATAAACTGCGTTAAAACTGTTCTGTTATAACAGGGTTTGACTGCGTGTTTTACTGGAAAAAACCAAGTGTCTTAACCTAACAAATTTCAATAAGTTGAATTTTTGGCCATTAAGTTACGACTTGAGCCTCTTAAAATTAGCCATACTTGTTCAGATTTTTCTGCTTGTTCGATTCATGCGTAACTCGAATTTTTAGAATAGGGAGCAGAACAAGAAAAGATTAAAATATGATAAAAGTCTACTGTTTCGATTTTTTGAATAAAATCGGTAACTCACTCATTTTTAGGCTCTAAGGCTTGAAATCTCACCCCTGTATGATATTATTACTTGAATGTTCAAATATACGGTAACTAATACTGGAAAAATTTTCCATCTGTAGCGGCAGCTGTGTAAAGTCTCATTGCCATGTCTAGAAATAGTAACCTTTTGTGAAGAGAAGTAGTACAAAAATCTTGAAAACTTCTACCATGATCTCATTGACCCATCAACCAATTATCTTGTAACGGGTGCTAGTTTTCATCGAAGAAATTCCTTAAAATTAATATTAATAGCCGACTGAAGGAAGACAGGGAGATACTTTGAATGCTTTTTGTATATCGTAAAGTCGATTACTAAATGGATGACCTTCACATTTATCTTTCTAAAACATGTTTCAAGACATCATTTCACTGTACTTCCAAGGCCCATTTGATTCGATAATTAATCTGTACGCGATTGCTTAATATATACACTGTTTCTCTTCGATGAAGTGAGTCCACCTTACTTCACTAAACTTTAAACTTCGCAGTATATTTCCTCATCAATCTCTATATTGTCTTCAACCATATTCCCATCGGACTTTAAATAAAAGAACGAACAGATTAAAGTGACTTATATGCTCGAAATATCTATATGAGAATCTCAGTAAGTCATCAGAGTAAGCTAAACTGCTGTAAATTTAAAATTAAATCACAGTGTATTTGAACATTCAATGGCTGATACTAAAATTGCAATTGGGTCTTGTAGTGATATCTGAATGAAGAAGACTATTGCTCATAAATGGACTTTTAATGGAAATTTCGTTATGTCTGTTTTCTACTCTCTTCTCATTTAACTGTTGAAGCGTCGAATAGCAATGATATCAAAGGAAAAGTTAACAAGAGTTTCAACAAGCTGAAGTAAGATGAAAACTCACCATGGTGCATAAAATTCGACTAATACAACTGGATGGCTTTCGATAAATTGTGTAAAATTATTTTCACCCAAAACAACAACGAGACTTGGCCCGTCTGTAGATGCTTGTTCAGAATCAGCTTCTTCATCATCAGACATTTCGAATTTCAAACCACCATCATTATCATTGTGTTCAGGATCGACCAATATTTGTTCACTGGAAATGAAATTCAATAAAACAAACAGAATAATCAGTGATCGTAACAACATCATTGTAATACAATCTAAACAGAAAGAAACGAGATTTAATAAAAGTGGAAAATTTTCCTGTTCTGTGCATTCACAAAAATAAATCTACAAGACAAAAGAGATTAAGAAACGTATTTTTCAGTTTTATTAAGAGACAAGAAAAGCAAAAAAAACAACCGATCAATACTATAAGCATCAATCTTAAAAAAATGAATGAATGTGAGAAAATCGACGAAAATGAGTCCTCATACTGCTCGAAGGAACAAACAACAGACAAAGTAAATATTCCGAAGGGTTAAGAGAGAACAGATTTGAACTCATCAAGACAGTTCATTTGAAGATGAGTTCAACACTGTAAAAAAAAGTAACAGGCAAGGAGTTCTAATGTATTACACAATTTTTTATATGGGAAAAAGAAAGAATATTACAAAACGCTAAGAAAACAAGATTAACAATAGTCTGTCTTTCTAAAATCAAAAATAACCATAACAGATCTCCGACACTAATATTGGTGAAGTTAACTATAATCATCTGTTTAATCAATTAACTTTTTCGCTTTAAAATATCTTCTTAAATATAGCACTTGCCATAAAGCAAGACCCATTAAACAACACATTGAAAATATACTAAAATATAAAACTTTATTGTTCGTTGATTCATTTGTGTCACGCATTTCTTCTTCACGTTGTTTCATATAAGCAAAATCACTAACAATAGCTGATGATAAATCTTCTAGACGACTCAATTCAATTTCCAATGGTTTTAATTTATTGGCTTTGGCTAATGCATCATAATCTTTTGTTTCAATACCATGTTTCAGGTTTAACGTTACTTCTTTTGTCGTATGGTCTGCAGTTAAATGGTGTTTTTGACCGCCTGATACTTTTGTTTCAAAACATACTTCAAATATGTCATACTGTAAGAGAGAAAAAATCCCATGATGTTTGAAATTAAAATATAACAATATATAGTTACATACTTCCTCAGTTGTAAAGGCAAATTTTCCCTTAAGGGCGTCTTCTTTGTTATATAATATGTGGCCTTTTGTATCTTTGACGTCCAAATGTGTCGGCAGTCCCACTAATTGAGTTACGTCGTAATCACCTGTTACCATTGTATCCTAAAAACTAATTTGATCAGTCAAAGAAACAAAAAATGTCCATTCGCCTTGTAGCTTACTTTGTGCACTTCTTCTTTTAAGCATTTTCTAACGTTTATCGGTAAACGAAAGCTCACGCTTTCCGTCTGCTGAACAATGGTGAATATTAACAGGGAAATAGTATAGAATATCATGTTGAAATCCCCTCTTTTATCTTTAATGTGGACTTTTAATTATTATTAAACTGTGAACCTATTAGATTTTTACAAGGAAATCGATCAATCGATGACTTAGCTCCACGTTGTGCAGTATAAAATCCGGAACACGTTTGACAACTACATTGGTCAAATAGTAAATATGAAATACTGATAGTTTTTAGGCATATAAGGGTAGCTTTATTCTTTCGTAGTTATGCTTAACAAGACTGATGTGTTCATCTGTAGAAACTACTTTCGCAGATGGCGCTCATTATCGACCTATTGGCGTGTGTGTGTCGGACTATATTTGATATTTCCGGATAAGAATAGAAAAACACGAGGTCGAATATGTTGATCTATACCATTAGTAAACACCCGAAGTTGTATGTTAAATCTGTTGTGTATGTGGTATTTGACACAATAAAACAAAAGTTAGAAATATCAAAAATATTTCAGAATAAAGAACGAATAGTTATATTAATGGTAGCTGTTTTATGTGTTCATCATGAACTCGTTCAAGTAAACTTTATAGTAGCAACTTTAACCTTTTCAAATTGTGATAGGACCAATAAACGATCAGCAGACGTTAGTATGAAACTTCAGAAAATTGCTGCTATAGTAGGTAAATTAAAACAATACCAACTTCTGGTGACGAAAAATAATAACTTTTTAAAAGATCATGAATATTCATACCGTTCCATCGGCACATCTCTCAGGTTTATATAAATTCAAAAAAAAAAGTTACAAACGGACATAAAAAAAAACAAATTCTAAACAAAAATGAACAATTAAGACTGAAACACTTATTTTCTTCACAAAAATCTCATTCATATGTCGATCTCACAAAACGTTTTACATACTTAGTGCACATATGCCGAATGCAAACTCGGTCATTTCCCTTTATCTCAGTAAAACTGTCTTTAGCTTTATCATTTATATTTAAAAAAAACAAATAACCTCTATCTTCTACAAAAAAGAACAACAACAGAAATCAACATATGAAAAAGACAGCGACTCTATATATAACAAAACAAAAACAGAGGTAGTAATAAACGTGTATGTATAACTATGTATATAAAAAATTGCATGGATTTTATTTCTTCTTCCTGATGTATAATCCTTTCTTTTGGTTTTTAAAATAACTAAATCAAGAGAAGAAAAAATATATGAACAAAACGAAATTATGGTAATCTCTGAGGCATCAGCAATTGTTTCATTGCTTGATTATCATTTCCTCCCTCTCCACTACCATGTACACCAATAGCCATAATTCCACTATCTGATTCGGGTGTCGTATTTGAACGAAATTGTGGATATACTTTCCAATTATCCCATAAAGCACAAATAACTTCACCAGCAATAACATTATTGGTATTTTTCTTAACAATTCTTAATAATAGAATACCATCTTGTCGACAATAATTATTAATAAAATCATGTAATCGTTTTGGTGGTGGTAATTGTGAACTACGATGATCTAATGTTTGACTCGATGAGTCACTATAATGAATATCATTTGCTCTTAAAAATCGTTGAATAAAATCTGTACGTGATTTAGATGTAAAATAATATAACCATTTAATAAGACCGTAAATCGATGCAGCAGCAACAAATGCAAGCCAAAACCATATTAATAAAAATATTTTTTCATTATAAATATTAATTGGTAATAAACATTGAACATCATAAGGTTGAATATTATCACCCAATGTACGAATTTTAAATTTACACATTGTTATACGAGGAAATCTTTCAACAGCATCCATATCACTACCACGAAACCATTGATTTAATACATTTATACCGTACATATTAAAATCTTTACCCATAAATAAATTTAATAAAAATAATTGACCAATAGCATTAGCAATATACAAAAATTTTACAAATATATAGATGCATGCCAAATAATTACCAGATGTATGACCATTTAAACAATGAAATATTGATGCTATAGATCGACGTACTTTATAACTAAAACCATATTCATATTCACGATGATATGCTAATGCTTTATCAATATGTTTTGCTAATGAACGAACAGTTTTTTCACGTGTTTCAGAATTTAATTGATCCATACTTAGAACCATGTTTGTAATTATTTTTGTATTTATACCACATGTTTTATTCATATTTCGCCAAACAAAACCAGGTAAATAAAATAAAAACATCATACACAATATAATGAATGGCACCCATTGATAGTATGGTCTAAATAAAATAAAAAATAGTATTGTTAAAGCAGTAAAGTATTAATTATGTTGTCTGACTACAGTTATACAAAAACAATTCTAACTACATCATTCGATCATAAGTTTTAAATGAGAAATAATTAACAAATGTTCTCATTAATATGAGAAATCAGCAGAGCATGACAAAGTTCTTTATGAAATGTTTCTGAGAAGAATCTCATATTTTCTACGTGGCTACAAGAGAATTTCAATTCAACTGATAGAATCTTAATCTAATAAACAAAAAGCGAATTAATTAGTTATTAGATAGATACAGAAGTGTGTTTTTCTTCTACCAGATTGAAATCCTTCTGGCGATCTATGCTGTGAAGAATAACGAAAGTAAATCACCTACATTTTATCGGGTGTTGTCTGATCTCTATTTGGCAAAGGTTTTTCAAATGGTAAATAATATGAATTTGATATCCAACACACCCAATTAACATATGATATGTGACTACCAGCAATATTTTGCGTCTAAAATCAAAAGAGTAAATTTATAAGTAAATTCTTTTATTTAGATCACTAGCTTACATAACAATTAATTGGATGACCAACAAACTGTGATGTACTAACAACAAGAAATGAGACGCCTAAGAATATAAGTGAATATTTTCGGCTTAAACGATCATAAAAATCATCATTTCGAACTGTTGGAGAACCAAGTTTTCTAAATGCATCGACTACAAGATAGAGTGCCATTTATAATCTAAAATTATAACAATAAAAATCAACAATGAATCGTTTCACAAAAAAGATGCGCAACACAAAAGCGCATTTTACAAAGATATAACTTTAAATTGTCTAGAAAAAATGAATAATCTTGCTCATTATATAAAACTAAAAGAGTAAAAGTGAAATGAACAGTTGTAACTATCAATACATATTATTAAAGGGATCATGCTATAACTAATAAGCACATGGAAAATGTATGTATAGTGCCATACATACCTAGAAGAAAATGCATAAGGCAAGTTGTGTTTTTTGTTCTAGGATAAATTTTTCGAAATGAAAGAAAAGCTGAATAAGCAAGTAAGTATAATTCACTCGATCAATACATTCCCCACTACATGGTATATATATGAAGTTCAATACGGATAATTCTATTAGATTTAAATGTCAATCGAAGAGCAGACTACATTCTGATCGTGCTTCATTCGACGTAAGAATACGTAAACATTAAACAGAAAAAAGTACAGAGTATAAAACATAAGTTGTCAGCTAAAAATAAATATTCAAAAACGACTTTTTTAGTAGCATAATTGAACAAATTTTAGTCTGTGTATCAAAAAGGCAAAGTTACTCGACAAAAGGTGAACAAAGAAGATACAACTAACCGAATGGAAAAGATATACAAATACATCACTCAGACTTTTGTTTTTGAATGTGTTGCATCATTATTCATTCATTTACCTATGATAAATTTTGTTGAATGTTCAAAAAGAAACAGTTATGGCATTAATAACAGTAACTTAGTTTTTGTAATTGAAATCAAAAACTACAAGGAAATAGAACGTAAAATACTATTGAGACCATCGGTCAGACTTTGTGCCGTTCTCTCTTGTTATTTTTTCTTTTTTTTTTCTCTCTTTCTTGCTATGTGCACATGCCTTCAATATGTGAAATGTATGGATGTCCATTCCAAGGAAGCGTGTGTATGCATGACAAGGGCATTACAGAGTATGTGCATGTGTGAACGTATGTTATTCATTCTCTTTTATTTTCGTCCTCTTCAAACAGAGAAATAAGATGAATTTTGTATATTTTTTATGTCTACATCTAGATCATTGTTGACGAAAACACAGCTGCTTGTTCAGAGAGATCGACGCAGTTTCTAATGAGAAATGATTGATATATCTGTGTGTATATGCTTGATCATTACTTTTATTATTAAGAACTGTACAAAACTGAACTGAACTGAACAGTTCAAACGAGAGAGAGAGAGAGAGAAAAAAGAGTCAGTGTTGACCGCTGGAAAAGAAAAAGAAATTTTATCGTTCAGCTACGTCCAAAAATTTTTCATTCTTCCTATTTACAAACTATACATTCTACTTTGTCTGTTAGTCATTACATGAAGTATACTGTTTGATAGAAAAAGGTGCTCTCTAAAGAGGGTTTATATTATGTCGATTATATCTAGACGGATAAAAAGTGATCGAACGGAAATTTGTAACATTAGATATGTACTCGCAAAATGAAAGAAACACAGGGTCATCTAAAAGTTAAAAAAGAAATTGACTTCCTACTTTCTAAACTAGTTCTATTCTCTTAGGAAACTCATCTATCCGTTCCTTTTCGAGAAATAAATTCATTTCTATTTTCTATTCCACTTTGACCACAGTATATGGAAAATATACAACTTGAATTACGAGTTATAATGTTAAAAAAATCTTCGGATTCGGAAGAGAACATAGTCAAAGATCATTGATAAATTTAAAAAACAAACTAAAAATTGAAGTTTAAAAGAGAAAGTAGTGATTCTTCTAGTAGAAAGAAAAAGAGATGTTTTAAATGTTTTATTTCATTTCCATCTCATTATGACACTATAAGATAAAATTTATAAACTAAAAGGTATCATATTCTTACCGTCGGTATTCTTAACGACGATAATTTTTTTATTATTGAACTGAGTAGAGAAACAATAATAATTCACTAGTACTTCTACGAATTTAAATATCAAGCAAGAGCCTCTGATATTTTACATATGATGTACGAAAAACAACAACAATGCCAACTATTTTTCTCTTTCAAAAATATAAAGATGTTTTTGCTATTTTATTTTAGTTAGAATGGACAGATCTAAAAAATAAGATAGTTTGAATAATATCCATTCTGACATTATCTATATGATACGCACATATTGTTTTTATCATGGATAGTCAAACCGTTTTTCTTTCACAATAGTTTAGATTATAATGGAATTGTTTTATTGTTTTGAATAGAAATACGTATATGCATACATGCTTCTTTAGCTGATAGTAGAATATTCAAATTTTTATAGAATTTAACAAATAATATAAAAAAATTTTGTTCTCATAAGATTTTTTCTCATATTTATTTTTTTTTTACAAAAATTTGATTGTTGAATACTCGACAAATAACGATTAAAGTTTTCAATGTTTAAAAAAATAACAAAGAATAATTGAGAATTTAAAATTCTTAGTGGAAAATAAACGATAATCAAAAATTATAATAACTCTCATTAGTTCTCTGAAATACAGTTTAACAAAATATTTCCAATAGGGTCTAGTTTGTACAACATCTGCAATTTACATCATATCTAGATGTTTAGATATTCAGAGATTCTAATATTTCAATGTTGGATATTTAGATATTTAGGGAGATGGAGGGAGGAGAGAGAGCGGGGAGATGAGAGTGAGTGAGAAGAACTGAAGATCTTAACATTTGAATATCTAAATATCCAAATATTTAACATTTGAATATGAGAATATCTAAACATCTAGATATTATGTAAATTGCAGATGTTCACAAATTAGATCGGTTTCAATATTTCAAATTTAAATATTTTCAATTGTTTAAAATCATTGTCACTTTTAAATATATATTCATTTTTCATCATCATCTAAAAGTTTTACAAAAAGAGTCGTTATAACATCTTGTTTTAATCATTGTAAGAACTATGATTCCTAATTAACAAACATATCATATTAAATAAAACTTTAACATATATAGACTTAGATGCTAAAAAAATTTCAATCTCTATTATAATATCATCTAATTTTTGTGTATCGAATGTATTTTAGACGTATCAATAGACGTATATTTTATATTGACATTTTTAGTTACAATTATGACATTACATTTGTTATTTTTAAATTGAAAAACTATACAAAAATGCAACCAAAGAGTCTCTCTAAAAAGGCATAAATTCCACTTAAAATTTTTACCATATTTTATTTGTTATGTTCAAACTTCAGTATTTTTACTTATGTACACATCATGTCATAAAAATCAGTCATGTTTTTTTTTTTTTTTTGTTTTTTTTACACATTATACAAGGGAATTGGGACAAAGAATTAAAATAGTTTTAGAATTAAAAGTATTTTGATCATCTTTATCATTGATATATTCTTCAATAAAAATTCTTTTTAGAAAATACTATTTTTATTATTTTTCATAAAATAATTGTCTCTTGATTTTTTTTTCAAATGAAAAAAATATGTATTCATTCATCTATTATCATATTATAAAATAGTTCGAATTCAATATTTTACGTTCTTTCATGTTCTCGTAAATTTCTTTATTATTTTTTTTTTCATTTGTTCAGAAATTATGCGACATATAAGATACAATATTTATAGAGAATAAATCGGTGAGCATTGTAACAACATAAATTCGACGTGATATTCTATTTTGAGAAATTTATCTTGTGAATGGATAATACGGTAGTTTAAAATTATTAAAAATCTGATCAGAGAAGTTTTCAAGTGAGATAAAACAAATAAAAAAATTCATTATCTATAAGAGAAGGTTTTTAAGTATAAATTTCAATTTCGCTACTTTATCGGAATAGATGATCGAGAAATTTTTACAAAACAAGACTGAATTGTAATTTAAAAATCTGTGAGAGATTTTGAATGATTAATGTTGATGATGTTATTGGATGATCCATTCTCGAACGTCGATTTATGATAATTCATGAGTTTGAGTTTGTATTTGTACCAAATTAATTTTTTTCTGTATTTTTCGATAGTTTAAATATTTGAATCGTATATTATCTCCGATTGTATTCTACAAAAAATAATGTTTCACTATGAATTTATTCCGAAAACAAATAAGCTGCAGTAATAACTATCGACAAAAATTTTTTTCCTCTATTTTAATGATCATTTTTGTTCTGCTCTTGATGGAAAAAGAAATGTAAAGTTCAGTAATTTTCATATTGAAGTAATTAAGGGGTACCATTTTAGCATGTGTTTTTCAGTAAAATAATATGGGTGTTATGTGTTTTTTGTTGTGAACTGATGCTCTTAGTTAGATTATTTTTTTTTCCTTAATGATAGAGTTCCATTGATTTGTATAAATAATATTTTCATAAAAATCAAGTTACATCAAGGAAAAAATAAATATTTCATTGAACTATAGGTTTGCATAGCATAGCGTTTTTAATAAAAAACAATTTTTTCAAATAAAAATTATGAAGAATAATCAATTTTCTTATAGGATCACGCAAGCTTCTAAAAAGTTCACAACAGTGAAAAAAAAAAAGAATTGACTCAGCGGAAGTATGGTAAAGGAATTGTACCAAATGGAAAAAAACAGTAAACAAAATTTTATCATAATAAAAATCGATAAAAGTAAAAAGAAAGAATTTACCATCGTAGAAACAAGTGAATTGACTAATTATCGAGATGAGTTAATGAAAAATTATATGCTACTTTAACTGAGTGTGAACTTAACTTATAGTCAACAAATAGATAAGTAACATGTGATAAAAATATTTTAAGTCATTTATTTAAAAACGGAAAGGGAAAGACCTTATTAGATTTTCTTAACACGGCACTGAAATTGGGTTTTTTTTTACGTTTCTAATAGTTTATTCATCAAACAAAATATCACAGATACAACGAAAGAACTCTTTTGGATAAAATATTCTTTTATATGACATTCATGGATTTCTTCTTTATCTTTGTTACTATTTTTACCAATAATTTCGCTGTTTCTTCGATTTCTATTCTGTTTTTGTTGTATATCTACACATTCGAGTTGTATGTTGGTATTTTCTTTCTATGTGAGTGTATTGACCTAGAAAATAGAAAAATATTCTCTTTTTTTTTTCTTCTTCTTCTTCTTCTTCTCTCGTAGAGACAATAAAATAAGAAAAAAGAAAATAAAAATGCGAGCCGAGAGTGGGGGTGCTGGTAGTGTTGCTTTTTATATCTTGTTCTGTCATTCAATTTTTTTTTTATCTCACGATAGTCCATACATCTCTCAGGTAAACATGCTTTTTCTCTTATTTTGTTCTGTTTTATGGGAGAAGACATATTCGAACTCATGCTCCCCCGTTTGTTATGTTTGAAACAATTTTACCTGAGATGCTATCTGTGCATGTTTATAGCTATTGATTATCATAGAAAATATAATTTTTCATCGATTAATAGAGCTTAGAAGTTGAAGGATTCTTAAAACTATCTGTTCCAGATAATATCGACTAGTTTATATAGAATAAGTTGTGTTCTGTCTCACACAGTATAACACAACTATTCCAATAAACTTCCATTATTACTCATACAAACTTATTAATTGTTTTTCTTTAGTACATTCTTTAAAAGAAAAAAAAAATTAATTTGTATCTTTCCGTTTGTAGTTGCAGATACTTTTTTACACCTGAATAAGATTTTTTTTATTTGATTCTATTATTTCATGACAATAACTGCATGCCCAATGATACATGACATCACTATTACTTTACTCACAAAAACAAAGATGACAGAAATTTTAATTACTATTTTCCGAGAAAATAACTTCAACAAACACGGATCAGAGAGTTTTCTTTTTTGCTAGTAAAAATTCTGCTTTTACAAGGCTTGTCAGTATCAGTAATTATCTTATATTAGTTGACAACTGGTAAGAGAAAAGCACGTCGATATGAAATTTAATAAATTTACACCGTTTTCAAACATGTGATATGTATTAAGGAATGAACAAAGCATAGATAATGTCAATGGAAGTCGACAATACTTGCTTGAAAAATGTTCTTTTATTTTTGAAATTTTACGTTTAAATGTGTAAAATAATATTAGATGCTTGAAATAATGTTTAGTTCTTGTGGGACAAATGAATGTATAGGTACAAAAATACAAAAATATCGTTTTTTAATCAAAAATGGCAATGATATCTTAGATTCTGGTTATAAGGTGGAACTTTATCACGAAGAGATAAAACGAGTGACACACATATTTTTTGTTATTGTATCTATTAATTTTTCTAGCCCTTTCTTCCTTATTATATGGTAGCCTATTGAAACGAAAAGAAAAAGAAATATTCGCATAGAAGTAAAAAGGATTTTCACTTAAAGGACACCAAGTGGATGTTATCATGCAGTACATATAATACTATGCGTTGAATTTTTGTCAGAAATAAAGAAAACTCTTGTTTTCCGCTAATTAAAAACAAACCATATCGATTTTCTAAAAATTTCATGAAATTTTTTTACCAGTTATTGAGGTGAAAAAAAGGTTTAATCATTTAAAACCTGAATTTAATTAAAAAGGAATTTTGTCCTATGCCCTTAAATAAACAGAAATTATTTACAATGGTGTATTACAGTTTTGTTCATAGTTCTGTTAGAATGTCATTTATGCCTTCTTCTGGTATATTGGTTACATTTCAAAAGAGATACTTTTTTTTGAAAATTCACACTCAAGAGGGAACCTCCCGAGATGCCCACTTCCGATTCAAATGCTTTGTACATGGATAGATAGACCTCAGTGAGGTAGTAAATACCCTTAAAAGATTCGGCCCATGACTCTTGAAGATCCGGTTTTCTGGAAAACCAGTTTTTCAGAAACTCTAAAAAATAATCAAAACCGTTTCTTAATGAGACATGATTGTGGTCTGGAAATTTCTGATTAAAATGAGACGTCTCCCAGTTCTACACGATCTTTCTTTGCAAAGTTATGGAATTATGGAAATAAAGTTATAAGTTATGGAAAGTTATGGAATACAAGAAAAGCCCTAAATGTTCATTGTCAGTCAGCTCAAAGCTACAGAAATAAGAAGAAATTAATTTAGGGCTTTTCTTGTAAATTCTATAACTTTGCAAAGAGAGTCGTGTACAGCTGGGAGACATCTCATTCTAATCAGAAATGTGTGGGCTACAATCATGTCTCATTAAGAAACGGTTTTGATTATTTTTTAGAGTTTCTGAAAAACTGATTTTCCAGGAAACTGGGTCTTCAAGAGTCATAGGCCCGAATTCTTTTAAGGTATTTACTACCGCACTGAGGTCTATCAAGCCATGTACGAAGCATTTGAATCTTCGAGAGGTTCCCTCGTCAGTTTTTGGTTGGACACTTACAGTTTTGATCCTGGAAAAAATGCACAACTGATCCCGTATACAAAAACTTGTATAAGAAATGCAAGAAAGATCCAGGTTTTCTTTGTCGATCTCACTCACTTTCATCTTGTCGCCCATCGCCGCCTTTGATCTTACGCAAAGTTTTGTAAACGGGATCAAGTGTGCATTTTTTCCGGGATCAAAAATGTATCTATCCCAGTTTTTTTATGTCCCCTCTCGTGTTGTTTGATCTTACAAAGCCAATTAGAACGAATTTATATCTGTTTTGAGAAGCTTCGGTTATATTAACCTATACTGCTTGAACCCCCTTATTTTGTACTATTTATTTGTAATCTTGTTCAGATTTTTCTTGTGTTGAATAAAGTAGAATGATCGGAACGTTATTTAGGGAGTGTACCAGTGATTTATATAGATTGATCGTTGCTTTGTTTATGTTTTCAAGTGTTGATCATGATAAATCCAATTAATAAACTATAATTTATAGGGTGAATTAAATAATGAAACAAATTAAAACTACAAACTAACAAATATCCGAGTATCCATCCTGTGAACTCAAAACAGTTAGTCGAATTAGGTTCAATCCATATGAAACTCTAATTTGATACTCTTTCACAAGACAAAGATCCGAAAAAGTTGTACACGTTATGTTTTGTATGTAAAAATTCTCCAGAGACACTGTTTAATTTTAAGAAAAGTAAGATAATTGACTTTTGACAACCACTATATTTTTCCTGTTTCTCTACCTTTGAAAGATATTAAAAGTCAAGAATTGAAAATTAGTTCAACTATTCTCACATTGATACAGAGAAAAAGCGGGTTCGATAATGAACAAACATTTTTGTGTCTCTTCTCTTTATCTCTTTCAAAGTGATGTTATACAGTCAATAAAATATACATGTATCTATTAACTATCATTCATATCCTAAAAGTTAAAATTATTTTTTGATGTGTATATTTTTTCTTCTCTATACACTATTTATATCATCTTTGTAAAGAGTAGACATAATCGAATAATATACACTCAAGAACTTGAGCATAAATGCTATGTTTGAAGTTCTTTTCTTCTACATTGATTAAGTTATATCTTTGTTTTTTACTTTTGAAAAAAGCGATATGATTTACTATTAGAGACCGTGACAAATCATGGATATTAACGCAAATATTGCAACGTTTTTAGAACACTGGTCTTTTTTGACTGCTTTCTGTCATCATTACACACACACAGTGATCTCGATAAAAGAAATTTATTATTTATATGCGATTCTTCCAAATCTTTTCGTACAGTACTTAGAATGGAGAGAAGGTTCATATTCTAGGAAAAGTCTGCTATCGTCAAAAGATAATGCGAGAATTAGAAAATAGTTGTGATGTCTTTGGTAGTAAAATTTCTTTATAATGTCGGTGGCAGAATGGCATATATTTACAAAATGTAGGTGTCATATTTTGATGAACTTCAATCTATTTTAGATATGAAATTCATTAATTTTCAATTATTCTGTTACAAATTTTTTACAATTATTCTTCTTTCTAATTTTGGAGTGAAATCTGACGAGGTAATTATCTTATCTTCTAAATAATGAAATCTTCGGACTATTTCATAATCATTTACAAGGACTTATAAGAAAGTTAAACGATTATACAAGCTTTTGTGAAAGGATCTTGTAAAATTGTATTATAAGAATCTTGCAGAAAGATTCTTAATATCAAATTTTACAAGATCTGTTTCATCTAGTGATTCATTTACCTGATGTTCTCTGTTCTAGTGTCGGTCGTCCACAATCCCTTACACATTATGTTATACTAATGGAACTTTGATACAAAATACGAGCATATTCACACAAAAAGAGCTATTTGAGCAGTGCGATAATGATAGTTTTGTCGGAAGTATAATACCGTGTAAAGATGAAGATGAACATCTTCAACAATATACATCTCCAACAACAGCTCAACGTGAGTATTAGAAAAAATTAAATAAATATTTTCGTTTATAACACTCTTATTTTCAGGTTACGGTTATGGATTTTTAGCCGTGTTTATAGTATCTGCTTTGTCATTGATTGGTTTACTCGCATTTCCAATACTTTACAAAGCATCATTTCAACATACCCTGGCATTATTTACAGCATTAGCCGTGGGAACATTATTTGGTGATAGCATGTTTCATTTAATACCATTTGTAAGCAAAGCTTTACCTGTCAATACTATGCATCCTATGGTAGAAATGTACAGGACAGCTGATTTTTGCGTCTTGTTTCATGATCTATAAAAGTTTTCACAATCTAGACCTATTCTAACATGTGATTTCGGTACCCTTGATCTGTACTTTGGAAATTTTCGAATTATGTGTAGTTTTCATTGAGGAATAACAACACATAAACACATGTATTAACAAAACGTATATTTCATGTGTGAAACATTGTCGTTGCTGTTCCAGTTCTCTTTCAAATTAGCTTAAACAGAGGATTCTTGTTTTTCCTATACATTGTATGATCTAAAGCTAATCAAGCTCGATCTGCACATTTCTACTCTACAGAACTCCCACTATTAGCTATTAGGTAGACCCTCACAGTGACTATTGTACATTAGACAGGCGATGGCAAGTTTTTATTATCGTAAATGATCGTTTTTGACTTAGAATGATTCTCCATATCTGAAAAAAAGTATTCTAGCAAAAAGAAAAACACTGAATTTGAAAACTTTTAGTTTTTGATTAAAGATGCTTGAGAGGGAGGAATTTCTCAACAACGAAGAAATATCTCAGAAAATGTTGAAGAACTGTATTATTCAATGCAGTTTACTGTGTTGATTCTAAATATTACCTTGTTCCTTTTACTAAAACGTTTTTGGGATTTTACCTTAAAACTGGTACTTTTGAAAATTGAAATACTTTTGATTTTTAGCAACATATCCACCTGAATAACAGTAGTCCTATTTATTGCATCGTTCGCATTAGAAACGAACAATGATCAAAAAAGATTCTGTACATCAGAGATTGCATGGAAATTTTTTTTTATCAATATATAGTTTTTCTCTAGTTTCTCTTTCTGGCAGTATATTTTATCTGTGCACTTCTTGTTATCTTTGTACTATAGGCTCTTAATTTACATGGTCATGATGATCATAAACATAGCGAGGAGGGACTTCAAGTACCAGATCATGTGTGGAAAATGTTAGCAGCCGTGATGAGTAAGTTGGCGTTTTTAATCCTATGAAAACAATTGTTGTTAATTATTTTCTTTGTTTATATTTCAGTTGCATATGGGTTTTATTTACTGGAAGTATTACTTCACGCATTTGCTCATTACAAACACAAAAATGTAAGCAGTGTGCACAGTTATATGGAGTTAATTGTTACCTATATGTTCCTCTACATAACTTTAATGAGACAATGCAAATCGTTAAACATGTTCTCTTCTGCTTTAGAATTCGGTTCATTTTCATGCCCATGGTATGTAATATAGTACTGCTTTTCTTATCTCTCATAGTAAGATCGTTTAATCATTCTTTATTCTTTGTATTTACAGGACATTCACATGGTATTCCACATCATCATCATTCTCACAAAAACGGTGAAGTATGTGAATCCTTACCCGTTGATGTCGATGCCGACTTGGAACATAGTCATCAGTTACACAACCATCATCATCACAATTTACACCAACACGTATCTAATGAGATTCATAGTACTCATACTCCTGTGGTGACAACTGGCTCAGAAACTGTCTCGGGAGGATGTGTGCCGTGCGTGTACAGTACAGATTTACAACCAGCAGCTGCAATTATAAGACAAAACTCAGTAACAAGAATGGTTTCCGATACGGATAAGAATGAAGTTGATAAAATGATTTCAAATGATGGAACTAAAGCAACTGTCAAACAAATTAAATGTAAGTTGACTGAATTCCTCTCTCAAAAAAAGATATTTGTATTGATAACTACAGAATCCACTATAGTCTCCATCAATGTACAACCAGCAGCTACAGTTATAAGACAAAACTCAGTAACAAGAATGGTTTCCGATACGGATATGAATGAAGTTGATAAAATGATTTCAAATGATGGAACTAAAGCAATTGTCAAACAAATTAAATGTAAGTTGACTGAATTCCTCTCTCAAAAAAAGATATTTGTATTGATAACTACAGAATCCACTATAGTCTCCATCAATGCTCTGAATATATGTTTTTTTAGTAAAAGCATTATATACTCCTGATATTCAACACGGTTCGTTCTTAATGTTCAGTTCTATACTCTTTTAAATATGCATGTTTCACCACTTAATTAATGCACACTCAAACATCTAGCAATTTTACTGTTTTCATGCACCGCGATACTTTATCGTATTTTGATTTTACAATTGATATAGCATGTTTTATATTTTTCAGCTTATGTTCTATTAACTAATATTAGTTGATTAATCTTCGTTGAATATTTCTTTTTTCGCACCACAGACGCTTTACATGTTTGTTCGTTAAACGAATAATATATATAAACGTACCATTATTTTTTAGTTCTAAAAGTTGATATTTAATAGTCACGTTAGTGTTCAATGTTCTCGTCGACGAAAAAATATTTTGCAATTGTTTTATTTTCGAATTTTTGTTTTTCGATGATGTCACCAGTCAATTGTTCTTCTCTCATTTTTTAGCAATCAAAGCAACGGGTTGGATGGTATTAATTGGAGATGGAATTCATAATTTTGCAGACGGCTTAGCTCTTGGTGCAGCATTTTCACAAGATTTGATTCTTGGCGCAACAACCACAATTGCTGTTGGCCTTCATGAGCTTCCACATGAACTTGGTAAGTATGAGTGAATAGATCGTTTCTAAATTAGAATAAATAATACTGATACGATGTTTTAGGTGATTATGCTGTTCTTATTCAATCTGGTTTTAGTCATTATAAAGCGGTCTTATTTAATTTTATTTCATCGCTAACTTCATTTATCGGATTTTTCATCGGTGTTGCATTATCAGATAACGAAGAATTTCGACGATGGATATTTGCGTTGACCGTTGGAATGTTTCTTTATATTTCACTTGTTGATCTTGTAAGTTTTTAACTTCTATATAATCAACATAATCCAAATTTTTAACATAACATTTTATTTTAGTTGCCAACATTGTTACCCGATGGTGAAGTGAAAATAAAACGTTTTATTCTTGTTAACATTGGTTTTCTATCTGGTATATTAATTATGCTCATATTAGCTATGTTTGAAGATAAATTAATTCATTCACATAAATATAATAGAAAAGTTCATCGATAGCAATTGTACAGTTGATCTTTTACTCTTTTTGCTTCTTCTTCTTTTTTTTTTTGTAAGAATATAAATGCATGTTTTTGTAGTTGCCGTTTTTTTGTTATAATTGTTACGCGCAACAAATTATTATTTTTTAATCCGGTGATCTTCACTATTCTTTTAAATGCACACTATAGTTATTTTTGTTTTTCTGTTATTGCAATTGTTGTTATTATTCATTTCTTCTTTTTCTAAATATGATACTTTCTGTGATGATGTTGACAACACACACACACATATATGCATAACGTCAAACATACTTTTTTTAATATCTTTTTCAATATTTTCAATTAATATCTTCTTCATATTTTTTTTTTTTGTTCAGTATTATAAATTACTTAATTATCTTTTTCCTTTTTTAAAATACTTCATTGAAAAAAAAATTGATCTTGTTATTATTCTTTTTTTGTTACGTGAAATTTTTTATTTATGTTTACATTTCTTTTATTATCCAAATATGGCCACAAAAAAAATACACGTGATAGAATTTTGGAGAAAATGTTAAAAATTAAATTATCACAATACTTTTTCATTTTCATTTCACAGTTATATAGTTGAGGTGAAGATTCACAAAGTTAAACAAAAAAATTTTATTCACAAATCGTTTCTCTGATTATCAGTTATCGATTATTGGTATTTAAACTTATATCTCTACGCTTTCTTGCTGAATGAATGTAAGAGTGAACGATAAATAAACCGTAATCATCGAGCAAGAATCAACTAGGTAAATAGTTCTTAGTATTAGTGTTTACAGAAAATGTTTTTTTTATTTTTATTTTTTATTCATACATGCATTTAAAAAAAATGAAGTAATCTATCAAAAAAGTACAAACAAGAAAGAAAGAACCGGATAGTTTCAAAAACTCGATAGATAAATATCAAAATCTGTGATCTATTAAGAGAAATAAGAAAAAAAAAGACAAATTTATTTTACAGAGCAATTATTACAGGAATGGTAACACTTTTGAGCATATTATCTGAACACGGTAGCTTTTGGGTTTTTACTTTCCGGATTTAACTGCCAATTCAATTTGTATACAAGTTGCATGTCCTTCTTTTGTTGATATATCAGCAGTAACGCGATAATCACCTAAAAATTCGGGTGGTATTACGGATGTAACACTAAATGGAGCATCTTGAATAACAAAACTTTTCTACAACAACAAAAGTGACAAAAATACTAGTCATGTTGATTTAACAGAAATAGTTACTTACAGGTGGCATAGGACAGGTACACGTAAAACCGTATTTTTCTAAATATTTTGGACAAAACTTTGCCCATTCACCACACATATCAGCATATGAACATGAGCCAATATTTTCTAAACATGGAACTTTGACAAAAAATGGGCCAACTTTTCTTTCAACTAATATTGTCGCCTAAAAAAAAAGTAGTTGATAAAATGGTAATTAATTATTATAATCATTTTATTAACTGATATTGGGCTTGAACTTTCTCTGCTTGAATTTAATGTTAATGCAACAGTAAAATTGCCTGGTATTGGAACGGGTTCAGGAGAGACAACTAACGACAATAATTGTACCGGATCATTGCGCGGTCCACAATTCTTCCATGACATACCCAACTTTGGTAACTAAAATAAAAATAAAATGGAAATAATAAATCATAGATTATCCTTGCTGAATAAAGTAAAACTTACTCGTTGTTTAAATTCATTATTGTTAAAATTAGAATCAGATTTCGCACTAGAATGTATAATAACTAAAGCTAATAGATAAAAAAAATATGATATAAATGCCATACTATTAATATATAGGAAAATGTTTATCTAAAAATAGAAAAAATAAATAAAAATAGAAGCTTAAATAAGGTTTTCTCTGACGAACAATTGTTATAAGACTTGTTTTATGAATGATTTATTATGACTGATTTTGCACAATTGTATGAGCAATTAACCATTTTCAAAAGCGTGTCAGCGTTGTCCTAGCGGGTAAAAATATGAAAACTTTCCTCTTGAATATATGCACAGATATATAATCAGTATTCACTAGTTGTTTTCCTTGAACTAAGATACAAGAAACATCCAATTTTCGCAATAGTACGAATACACCATTATTTCGACAACTACTGCTGTTGTCGTTGATATCTTAGATGATGAGGCTGGCACTGACGAGAAAAGAAGATAAAACAATCCGTTGCAAATCACAAGATACTATGCTGTTTGTGAACTGTGCGTCCGATTGCCCGTAAGGGGAGAAGTAACAGAAAGTGCCTAAGGTTCCCTATAAAGTGCATGAATTTCCCTGTTGAAAATTGATAGGTTAATCTTACAGCAACATGTTTCAAGATAGAAAAGGTATATATTCATAAGCTGTGTATGTAAATGACACAAATGTTTATAAATAATTTTAAAAATACCATTGAAATTACTCTTTTTCGGATACAACAACCGTACCTACTTTAGTTTAAAACCTATAGATATTGGTTCTAAATCTTTAAAAAACTGTACTTCATAGGGACTGAATGATGTACTATTAGTATTCAGTATGTTATGAAACCAAATCAACGGGACAGATGCTCCTTTGGGTAATAATGCCCCATGGATAATAAGTTTATATTTCACCAGCTTTGAGCTAGTTATTATGTGATCATTTAATAGTAATAGTCTAATTCTGTCAGGAAGTTGATACTAGATACAGAATTGTTCGTGTAAATGATCAAAGAATAAACTAATAGTCTGAACAAAACTCCAGTTTTTTGCATCAATTTTACTTGCATGAAAAATGTACTTCCTGGTGTATGAGCCACGTATTCCGTACAAATGAGAGATCGATTAGATATTTTTAATTCCTCAACCATTTTCATTGTATCTGACAATGTAAATAGTTGTGGAATGTAACGATATCTGATATAGATTATCTTTTCTTACTATTTTAGAATTGGCCATTGAGTTTGATGGAGAAGTATTGCTTGTCCCGAATCCCGAATTGTGAACACCTGATACAGAATATGGTTGTTTGTCCAACTTTGGATTAGGATTCCAACATTCGTCAAACAGTACAAACATAATTTGAACATTGTTTTCTGAAGCGATTTCTAAAAATTTGTTGATGTGTTGAGTAAAACCATGGAGATTTTGTTGCCAAACAAAATGATGTAAAAATACCCTCATTAGATTTATATTCAACGATGAAGTCTACATTAATTTGTGTATAATTATTTCAACATCAATGTTTCTTCTTGCTACATTTCCAGAGCATTAATAGCTGTTGAAGGTATACAATTGGTTCCACTAAACTATGGTTGTTGATTGTACCAGTCTTGTACTTGTGTTTCCGTCCATCGAGTACCGTCACTAACACCAATACTTATCACAATTAAACATCCTAACTGAACTACATGCACTTTGGAGTAATTGTTGACTTATGATGGGAAAATAGAGTGCAATAAGAGCTAGCATGATGATAAAAAGATGGTTTGGTTGGATAATAATTATTTCCATGATATTTTCATGTATTCAATGATATAATCATTTGATTCCAGATAATAAAGTAAACATTGTTGCCTTTTTGGCATGATAATATTAATAACTAGACGGCAATCACGCTAGCGAGAATTGCGAATGCGGTGCGATGCAGGAACAAGGGAATGAAGGATACGGCAACAGAGAACTCAGTTTTTTTGTTAAATCTGTAACACAAGAATGCATTTAGAGGCTAGAGTTACGATAATCACTTGTTGAATAGATATAGAGAACGATCATAAAACGAATCACACGTAGACGAACGTACTCTGATATAAAAGCGCGTGTACATGTATGACTCAGATTAATTATCGTGTTTTTTGGAAAAAAATTGCAAGTCCTAAACGTTCCAAAGACCTACGTTGGAGCTGTAAATCAGAGCAGCGAAATATACAAACAGTTTCAAAAGGGGAGAAGACACAATTCAGCCACTCTCTCTACAAGCATTTAAAGTTTTGAAACATCACTTGTAGTTTTCGAGATAACCATTACAGAAAATCATACTTTTTTTGTCGAGCAAAAAACACGCAGTTTATTACTAGAATACGGTTTCGCTTCGCACCACATTAATAAAACATGTGTACAATTTAAATCTTTACAGATCGAAAAGAATCAAAATCCTAATATCTAGATTATATGGTTGTTTTCATATATATAAAACACCAGGCCAATCTAAGGTTGGACTAGTCTAAAGTACAGTTTAGGATTAATCAGGCCTAGGCTAATGTCAAATCAGGATGATAATTCACGCATAATCGAAAGAATTGATCATTTGTACTGGAAAATTCCTTGTAATGAAACAACGTCCTGTTTTGGATGAATTTTTTATTTGTGTCAACACATTTGTAAAAAATACAGATTCTGTAAATCAAAAAGAAGAGTTTTGAAAACAAGAACCCACAAAGCTTCTATAAAACCTTCATCCTAGACCAATTCCAAAAGTCAGATCTACTTCAATCTTGCCTGCACCGGGTACAGGTCATTGCAAAGAAAGGTTTTTCGGCCAAACAGACGTTGGTTTTTCAACAATTTCAAAAGTCAGGATCTACGATATGCTGGTAGAAGAAGAGCAAAAAAACCCTTATAAATTATCTAGATACTACAACTAATTTTCTGCAACAATATGATAATAATGCCGTTTTATAGAGTTTATAATTAAGGATAATTCGTCGTAAATGACCTACTTACTTTTTTATTTACAGCTAGTGTCAAATAAATTGGTTCTCTTTTGCTCACAACACATGAACTTCAAATAACGAGCTTCATTGTGAATTAATTGTGAAGATTAAAGTTCTTTTTCCATCTGCAACAGAATGAAAATAGAAAATATATGTTTTAAACGTCTAATTAATCTAGAAAATAGAACATGTTCTATTAATAAAACGTGATGTTATCAGTCAGTACTTCAAAGATTAAAAAGCTTTAATTTAAAGAGGTCTAAACATCTTACTGATAACACACATTTTCTAAAAGGGTCTTTCCCATAATCTGCTGTACAAAAGTTCTAATAATAAAAACTCAACGAGTTTATATTTCTTAATAATGAGCTTATTATTCAAAGTATGACATGGCCTATGTTGCAGAACAATTCAGCTTTTAATATCGACCAGCTATGTCCAATGTCATCACTATTATTTGTCGTACTATACTTTTTCATATTGCTATTACCTGCTATTCAACCTTTTTTCGATAATGGCTGCAGTCACAACAATCACTGAGATGGCTAATGAGGGAAGTGCTGATGAAAAAATCTTTTATGCAAAGATTGATGCTCATATTCAGACTTTGGCGCCAAAGATGCCTGAGACATGGGTTGTAACAAAGACTATGTGTAAAGATATAATGAATGTTTTAAAGCAAGATAAAGCTGGTGGAAACACAAGTATTGATCCACAATATCGTACATGATGTGGACAAGCAATTTTTCAGTACAAATGATCAATTCTTTCGATTATGCGTGAATTCTGATTTGATATCTAGGCCAATATAACATTTGTCTGATTAATTCTAAATTATACTTTAGACTAATCCAGTCTTAGATTCGCCTGGTGTTTTCAGTCCAGTGTTACATTGGACTAATACTTTTTATTATATTTTACTTTGTACTCGTTCATACTGAAATTTTACTTTGGCCTTAAGCAACTCTAGGCGAAAGTGAAATTAAACTTTGGACTAGGCCAATATTACATTGGACTGAATTTCACTTTGGACGCTAACATATATATGAGAGAGAGAGAAAGAGAGAAATTAATAATCAGAACCGTCTCAAAAGTACGAAGCGAGACCGATGCCTTGTCAGACCGAGAGTTTAAATTTAAGAAAAGGAGCAATAAAACTAATTTAGCATAGCTTTTAACTAGTTATCGTATCTTCTTAATAAGATCTCTTTATTAAAATTATTCGCGTTACAATATAACAGTATGGCATGATTATGTTTATTTTGCAAAATTGTTTTCAAAATTGTTGATTATATTTTCAGACTAAACATGTAGAAAAATTGCCTTCAATTTTTAAATTATTCTCAATATTTTGAACTCTTTTAGTAGTATCAATCTCGAAGTCCAGGTTTTGCTTTCAAAAGAGACAACGACTCATAAGCTACGTTTTCAAGACAAGTTTCGATGACTTATTCAATCGAGAAAGAAAACGCTTGATGTATTTTCAAAATAATCACCACTGTTTATATTAACCCTTTGGTTACGGGTTTTTGGAAAAATGACAAAAAATTTGATTTTTCCAAAAACAGCCTGGAATATTTTATTGTCATCCAGAAGCATTCAGAAATGTTTCAGTTTGATATTCTTCAAAACAGCTTACTACACAAAGCCCAACGTTATAAATGGCACACGGATAACGTGTAGTGGTACATTTTTTTTCACGTTTGGTAGTATAACTACAAACCATATAAGATCTCTGTGCAGTGTTTTTGCTGCTGTAGGTGGTACCAGAGATAGACAACAACGTGAAGTGAGACTCGGACAACTTCTGCGACCTTTAGGTTAACCGTACTTTTCAATCAGTTCTCGAATCAATCGACTTCAAAAATCACCAAATTGAATATTTTGAATATTCAACATGAGAGAAAGAGAGAGCGAGTACTCTTTTGGACTGATCAAGACGGAAGGTCATAACAGCCGTAATCTGAGCAAAACCTGAAAAGGTATGTATACGGGCTCCGTAAGCAAAGCGTTAATCTAAGAAAGTACCCAAAGTTAGAATATCCCGAAAAAGAATACTTCGACTTGCGGCTACCGGTACTGGTGTAGGCATGGCCATCTCAAGCTGAAAGTTCGAAGTAATTAGAACCAAAGATAACGCCGCTATGAATTTTTTTAGTTGTTGTGCTTATAGTTCTAAAACCCTGCTTCTATTAACACTAAAGATAGTTCCAGCTGAGTCCTTTTCTCTCAATTCTCACGCTGACATAAATGTCTGCATGTTGTCTCGCCAATATTAGCTTAACTTGGCAAGCATAGCTTGAAAACAAATGATTCTTTTGTTTTTTTGCCGTCACCTCTAAAATTTGTACATATCAAATGTTTTTCGCCATTTTCACATTCACCGTTTTACTTTCGCCCTTCCAGCATTTTGAAACGACTGAGTGATTATGTTATTCGGCACGTATTTCAAACGTACTGTATTCGAATCTCGGCGGGTCGTGTGATAACCTCGAGCAAGTTACTCATATCTTAGTGTTTCGAATTATCCGTGCGATAGTAGACTTACTACGCTATGACGCACAATACAGCTCCTCGTGTAGGTACCGGAAACCTAGTACATGGTTAGTGAGTGTATAGGAGAAGCTCAAGTAATTGGGAGAGAGATGTTTAGTCCAGAGCTGTGATTTATGGCTAGTAACGAGATGGATGACTATACCAGAAACTTGTTACCTGCAGGAAAAGATATAG